TGATTTACTTCTGGAGTGGAACAGGCCCAGATGATTTCAGATCTAAAAGACCTGACAGCAGGGCTCTGCTTGGCTAACAACTCGATCCCTCCTGCTCTGTCCTCCTTTTGTCAGAAAATAAATTTAACAGGCTGGTCTTGTGGGGAAGCTGCCATGAGCCTTTGAACCCGCTACACTGCAGGTGTTTTGACCTGGTCAGCCCATAGGATAAGTTTCAGATTCAGTGGCTTTTTTTTTTTTTTTTTTTTTTTTTTTTTTTGCGGGCCGCGGGCCTTTCTCTGTTGTGGCCTCTCCCGTTGTGGAGCAACAGGCTCCGGACGCGCAGGCTCAGCAGCCACGGCTCACGAGCCCAGCCGCTCCGCGGCATGTGGGATCCTCCCGGACCGGGTCACGAACCCGTGCCCCCTCCATCGGCAGGTGGACTCTCAACTGCTGTGCCACCAGGGAAGCCCCTCAGTGGCTATTCTTGAGTATTTTTACACACTGTTTCATCTTTTTCAAGAGCATTCACATTGCTCAATAATTTCCCATGACGGCCATGAGTTGTGGGTCCACTTTACCATCCTAATTTTATATGCAGGCAAACTGGGGTCAGAGGAGTAGCTTCATTCATTCCAGAACGGTTTAGTGAACACCTACGTGCCAGGCACTGGACTGAGTATTACAGGACATGAAGATGACTGGCAGGCTAGCAGGAGAGATGAGAAGGAAGAACTCTGTCTATTACTGAGGTGTGAACCAGGAGCTGCGAGGGTCAGAAGATGAAGTAATTTTTTCTTATTAAGAGACAACCTCTGGGAAGGTTTTACTGTGCAGGTCACATTTAAAAAACAAAAAAAAAAAACCCATTTAAATGCACAGGCTCTTTCGTTCAAACATCTTTTGCTCTCTCCATTCCTTGAATTCCTAATTCCTACAGATTCTAATCATTTTACATAGGTATATGCTCATGCACACACAAATATGCTTTTTTTCAAATGAAATATGGAGTATGCCATCTTTTAAAATTAATCAAGGATATTCATTTCAACATTCTATGTAATAGCAAACAACTATAAACCACTAAAATGTCCAGCAATAGGGGACTGGATAGTTTCTCTAGGGACTTCCCTGGCGGTCCAGTGGTTAAGACTCTTCACTTCCACTGCAGGGGGCACCAGTTTGGTCCCTGGCTGGGGAGCTAAGATCCCTCATGCTGTGCGGCCAAGAAAAAAAAAAAAAGTTTCTCTATACAGTGGAGTACTATGCAGTGGGGAAAAATGAGGTAGGTCTGTGTGATATGGAAGTATCTCCAAGATATACTATAAAATCTGAAAAGCAAGCTTCAAGGCAGAGTGCTTAAAAGGAATAGGTAAGGCTGTGTGTTTGTGTGTGTGTGTGTGTGTATGTGAAAAATAATCACACATATAACTTTGCATTTACATGAAACATTTTTGTAAAGATTCCTGAGAAACTGTGAACAGTAGTTGTCTCTAGAGCAGGAGACACACTTATTTTTCACTATATGCCTAATGATCCTGTGTGAATTTTTTTATCATGTGTTTTTAAATTTTTCCATTAAACTAGTTAATTAAAAATGAGTGAGACAATACAACATAGGCATTTCTCCCATGCTACTATATAATACACCATTTTGCCCTGGTCATTGCCAGGTGCTGTTTAGATACTTCCCACAGCTCCCTGATAAGGAAACTGAGGCAACTTGCCCAAGGTCACACAGATATTAAGTGGTAGAGCAGGGATTTGAACCCGTGCAACCTGGCTCTGAAGCCCATACGCTGAACCACTATGGCCATGCAGCCTCTCTCATTCTTGCTAAGGGATGCAAAGTGTATTCCATAAAGTGATTGTCATACTTTTTTACCCTTTCCTCCTTGATAGAAATTCTGGTTGTTTCTAGGGTTTTGCTATTACCTACCTACCACACTGCAGAAACACCCTCGTGATTAACCTTTGTGCTCTTGTGTAAACATATTTATAAGAGAAGACCTGGAAGTGAAACCATGGCATCATTTAAAGCTTGATAGTTATTATCAAATTGCTTTCCTTTTTTTTTTCCTTTAACCAAAAAGAAAAACCCTTTGTCTTTGTATGAGAGAGGAAGTAGCCCCAAGTCTGGTAGCTGGAAAAGGGGAATTTCAGTCCTAGTATTAAACAGTATGAGCAGAGACAATGGCCTGTGTGTTTTGTGAGGTTAGGAATTGTCTTGCTCATCTTTGTTCAACAAATATTTATTGTGCCCTTACTAAGTGCTTCTGGACAATGGTGAATACAGGGGACATGGTCCCTGCCCTCATGCAGCTGATAGTCTGTGGAGAGAGAGGCATTAATAAAGTTATGTGAAAGTTTTCATTTTCACAAAATGAAAATATAATAACAAGCTTCAATAAGTGCCATGAGGAGAAAAAAATGTGGTGCTATTGGAAGGAATAATAGAGTCCTTCTTTAGAGAAAGTGGTCAGGAGAGGGCTTTCTCCGGAAGGGACATTACACTGGAGATGAAGGAAGAGTAGAGATCAACAGAAGAATGGAGGGCACTAGGTTGTTTCCCAGCACCTAAAAAGGTTGTGGTTGGTGGAGCGAGGGCACCTAGAGCCTTTGGTACCACTGAAGGGTTTTAAGCGAGGTATTGATCTGATTTTTGCAGTCTCCCTGGCTGTTGTGTAGGAACTGCATTAGAACAGTAGCAAGAATTCAAGTGGGGAAACCAATTAGGAGGTTTTTGCAAGACAGGAGAGAGATGACAGTGGTTAATCTAAGGTGATGGAGGAGGAACCTATAGATTATAAGGGTCTCAAAAGACATATTGATTGACTGCAATGCGTGGACCTCATTTAGATCCTGATTTTTTTTTAAGTAAAAAAAAAAAGGGAAATATCAGAGTTACATTTGGAAATTTTAACAGGATATTTGATATTAAGAAATCTTTTTAAAGATTTTTTTGATGCGGACCATTTTTAAAGTCTTTATTGAATTTGTTACAATATTGTTTTGTTTTCTGTTTTGGATTTTTGGCCGCGAGACATAGGGAATCTTAGCTCTCCAACCAGGGATCAAACCTGCACCCCCTGCACTGGAAGGCAAACTCTTAACCACTGGACCGCCAGGGGAATCCCAAGAATTTTTTTTTTTTAATTTTAGGTGTTTCATTAGGTTTCCCACTACTCCGCTTCAGGATTAAAGTGTTGGAAATTATTCAAAAGATAATTTAGAAATATAAACTGAAATATTAATGAACAATATGTTATATATAGCATTTTGTAAAGTTTAAAGTAATAGACAGCATTAAGAACCCTGGGACAAACCCCAAAGCAGAACACTATTGAGAGTGAAAGGCAACAAGAGCTACAAACCTGGATTTCCCTAGCAAGGTGAGGTTGCTCGTCTTGATACTCTTGTTGCCTTATTTAATTTTTCGGAAATAGTATCCTGATGTGTTTATTTGTTTGATTTTTTTTTTTTTTTTTTTTTTTTTTTTTTTGGCGGTACGCGGGCCTCTCACTGTTGTGGCCTCTCCCATTGTGGAGCACAGGCTCCGGACGCGCAGGCTCAGCAGCCATGGCTCACGGGCCCAGCCGCTCTGCGGCATGTGGGATCTTCCCGGACCGGGGCATGAACCCGTGTCCCCTGCATCGGCAGGTGGACTCTCAACCACTGCGCCACCAGGGAAGCCCTATTTGTTTGATTTTCAAAGTAACAAAGACATACTTAGGAAATCACACTTGGGAATAGTTAAGCTCTTGCCACGTCGAGGAATCACTCAGTTATCTTCTCTCTCCTTTTCCCCATCCTGAGTCGGATGGCCCTCTCTATGGCTCTGTGACAGTGGTTTTCAGTGCTGGGGGCTGGGACAAGGCTAGGATTTTGCTCCTCCCCACCCCCACCCACCAAGAGACATTTGGCAATGTCTGGAGACATTTTTGGTTGGCACAACTGGATCTGGGGCAGTGCTACTGGAATCTAGTGAGTAGATGCCAGGGATACGGCTCAACATCCTACCATACACAGGACAGTCTCTCCACTCGCCAAAGAAAGAATTATCAGGCCCAAAAAGTCAATAGTGCCAAGGTTGAGAAACCCTGCTATATAGCACTTTGTCATAGCGCTTCATAAAGACAACCAAAACTGTCAACTGGTTGGCCTTCCCAGCTAGACTGGCAACTCCAAGAAGACAGGTGATACATGTATCTTGTTGAGTGTTTGGAATATAGTTGACACTTAATAAGGATTGAAAGAAGGTGGGAAGGTACATCCAGGTTCAAATTTAGGGCCCTGTGAGATCATGCTGCTTGTGATCAGCCACTTGATAAGCATTTCATTCATTCAACATTTAGCATATTTATTAAGCAGTTACTATGTACTAGCAGTGTTTGATGTTGGGAATACAACAATGAGCAAGACAGAGTCCCTGCTCAATGAAACTTATTCCTATAAAGGAAGACAAACAATAAGCAACGAAACAAGATGATTTCAGACAGTGATAAATATTATGAAGAAAATAAAAGTATAATGCAACAGTGAATGATTGGGCAAGGACAGCATGGTCTAGGTTGGGTGAGCAGCTGCCATTTGAACTAATGATGAGAAAGTGCCAGCCACTGAAAGCTCTAGGCTAGGGAGAAGACTGATCCAGGCAAAGACCCTGAGGCCAAAATAGAGTGGCCTGTTCAGTGAAGACCAAGGGGAGAGGGCCGGATCACTTGTGCCATGGAAACGTTTGGATTTTATTCTAACTGAAATTGGAAGCCTGACATGTTGTTAAAAGATCACTCTGGCTTCTTTGGGAGAATGTATGAAACATCTATATTCAGAGTTTAAAATACTTCAGTCACATTCTCGGCTACTTCTTGCCAAAGGGGAAACTTCCCATATCCAGGAGGGGGCGCTCTAGGCGCCGGGTCAACAGACTCAGCGCTGTGGTTCTTTTCGAGAAGTCGGTCGCTTCCGGGAGCGGCTGCGTCTCCCTGCGCCTTCCTCTCTATCCGCCCGTCTCTGTGGTAGCCGGGTGCCGGGGCCCCTCCCCTCTTCGGCGGCAGCGAGTTTTTCGGACTCTACCCTGAGCGGACCCGGGGGCTACCGGGCTCTCGCGTCGGTCGGATTCCGGGTCATGGCGGTCCGGGGGCCCGCGCCCCGGGCTAGCGCCCGGTGAGTACGGCGGCTGGGGAGGAGGACCGGGCCTCGGGGCGTCCTACTCGGGGCTATGTGCGGAAGGAGCACCTTCCGCCCTCGTAACATACTGTGATTTTTTTTTTTAACTTTTTACTCAACATGGTGTTTTTGAGATCATCCATGGTATAATAATCTAGTTTTCACTTCTGAGTGCTGCATGGTGCTACCTAAGTGCGTTAGACCCCAGTTTACGTATACATTACCCTAGTGACGGACAATTAGATTGCTTCCAGTTTTTAAGTACCACTTGCCTCCTTTGTGGATATGGGTGATCTTTGGAGTATCCATCCCAGGGTAGGATGCTAGGTCACTTAATTGTGCTAAATTTGTTCTCTGGAATGGTCGCACCCAACTTCTCAACTGCATTGCTTAAAGGTTCCTGTTTCTTCTTAACGACCGACACCCCACCCCGCCGCCCAATGTTTGGTATTGTTTGGTTTTCTAATGTTTATCGACCTGATTAGTGTAAGGTGGTGTCCCATTGTGTTAATTTTCCTCTGTTAAGCATTTGGGTTTCCCCTTATTTATATCCTTTTCCCACTTTCTATGGATTTCCTGTCTTCCTGATGCAGTCATTACTTATATGGACTAGATTTTATTACCTTATTTTCCACTCTGCAAGTAACTTCTCCAAGTCTTTTAATCTGTGGCACTATGTTGAACAAAAATACTTAATTCTAAGTTAAATCTGTTAGATTTCCTGCATTATAGTTTGTGGTTTGGGGGTCTTATTTGAGAAATACCTACCATTATATTTTCATTAAGATATTTCTACATTCTATTAACTAAGTAATGTTACTTTTCACATTTAGATTTTTAATCCATTTGGAGTTTTTAAAGTTTATTTTTATACATAGTTTGAGGTAATGACCTAAATTTTCCTCTACCGTCTTCAATTAATGACAAATTAATTAATAATTAAAAATTAGAGAAGCTGTATAGCATAGTTAAGAGCACAGAGCCAGGCTACCTGTGTTCAAACCCTAAGGCTGCCACTTACCAGGTGGGTGACAAGGCAAGTTACTTAACCTTTTTACCCTCAGTTCCTCATCTTTAGGGTTGTGATTATTAAATGAATTAATACACATAAAATGTGTGGAACAGTACTGGGCACGTAGTGTGGGTTTGGCATATAATGTGTGTTTAATATGCCCTTTCTTGTGATATAATCTCTATTATGTGCCCACGTAAACATAGGTGAATTTTTTTCTTTTTGGTCTTTCTGTTCCATGGTCTTTTTGTTCCTGTATTCATACCACACTTTGTTATTACTCCAACCCTGTAATATGATATGTCTTAATAACCTGATGGTTTAGGTGGGTTTCTTCCTCCTCCTTTCCTGTTCCTCACAGTTGTCCTGACCTATTCATAGACCTTTATATTTCCATATACAGTTCCTTAAAGAACTCCTGGTTTTGACTGGTATTGCATTGCAGTTACAGACTTCTATTAGAAATGAAGTCTTTCTATTTAAGTCTTCTTTCACATCCTATAATAGAGTTTTCGGGTTTTCCTCCAAAATGTCTTATACATTCTTTTATAAAGTTAATTTCTGGATATTTTATGGTTTTTCTGTGCTTTTCTTCTGTAAATGACATCTTATTTTCTTTATATTTGCTAGTTGGTTATTGTTGGTTATTGATACTTGTGTGTTAACCCTGTATCTAGCAACATTGCTGGACTCCTTTTATTTCTAACGTTTTGTCTATTTAAAAAATAATATTTATTTTGGCTGTGCTGGGTCTTAGTTGAGGCATGCTGGATCTTCATTGCTGTGTGCGGGTTCCTTATCGCAGCGTGCGGGGTCTTTAGTTGCGGCATGCCTGTGGGATCTAGTTCCCCGACCAGGAATTGAACCCAGGCCCCCAGCATTGGGAGCGTGGAGTCTTAGCCACTGGACCACCAGGGAAGTCCCACTAACATTTTGTCTATAGCTTTGCTGTGTTTCCTATGTAAATGATCACATCATCTGAAAATAATGACAATTTAATCTCTTCTTTCATTCCTTTTACCTCATTTCTTTTATTTTCTTTATTGCTTTAGTCAGGATCTTAAAATCCTTGATGTAGTGGGTTTCCTTGTCTTGTTTATGACCAAAAAAGAGGATGTGGCTAAGGTTTCTTTATTAATATAGCTATAGATTTTTAGTAAATAACTTTTCATAGCATTTATCAACTTAAATTCCTTTTTATCCCCTGGTCTGTTTCCCTCCTACCATCTTCAGCATTCATAAACCGTTCTTTCTGCATGGCCTGCGCCCTGCCCACCAACAGCTGTAGATAAGCTTGGTAACTGCTCTCTAAGGCTCCATTGTCCTTTTAGGACTCTGCTTCTCCTGCTTTTCTTCTTCAGGCCCAGGTTAGATCTGCAATTTTTCCAGCGGTTCCTGCAGATACAGAAGGTTTTGTTTCCCTCTTGGTCATCACAGAATGCCTTGATGTTCCTGACTCTTTTGTGTGTGGCCCTACTGGGTGAGTGAATGAGCCCAGGCCGGTGGGGGGGAGGACAGCCCTGGTTTGAGGTCCTTTTCCTTCTGTGGGGTGTTGATGAGGCAAGGACTTGAGAGGAAGCCTCCCTCTGTCTTTTCTCACCCCTCATCACTGATTCCTGACTCCTCTCCTTCCCCCCAGAACAACTGGTGATCTACCGGGTTGGCTTGCTTCCCAGTCAGTACTTTGGGGTCCTAGGAAACAAAGATTTAAATGGGTTTAAGACCCTGACGTTCCTGGCTGTTGTGCTCATCGTCCTCAACTCCATGGTAAGGTCGTCTGCCTGTGTCTCTCTTCCTCTCCAGCGCCCAGTGGACTTAGCCACCAGGAAGCAGGAACCGAGCTGTGGATGTGTGTTCCCTCCCTCTTCTGGGAACATGGGGTCAAAACTCTAGGCAGGGCATTGATCTTGCTGTTGGCCCACATGGGACCAATTCCCAGAGTGTTACGAGCTCCTAGGGCTTGGCCACAGGATTCTGGTTTAATCCAGCATTTGGTGGAAATGATCCTTGTCCCTTCCATTCCCAGAACTCTTGCTTCAGGGAGTTCAGAGCACTTGAAAACCGGGCTCAGCAGCCAGAGCTGCTGCTGTCCTCTGGGGGGGCCGGGGCTGTGCCTGAGCCTGGCACTTGTCACATCTCCCAGCCTTTGCACCTGCTGCTCTCTTGCAAAATGGCCTCCTTCCCCCACCCCTTGTTCACTTGCTTAACACCTGCTCACTTTTCACGATTCCTCCGCTGTCACCTCCTTCAAGTCCTCCTCAACTTGTCCTTCATGTTTCCTCCACCAAACTCTGCCCCTTCGACTCCTGATCCTTTGAGTTCAGCTCTGCTCTAACAATCCTTACACCCTTGTGATTGTGCCCTCACTAGACTGTGAGCTCGTTGTTACTTCCCTCGTGCTTAGTGTTCAGGGGCGCCATAAACGGAATGATGAGCGTCAGGGCTCTTTTAGGACTCGAGCCTAATGCTCTCTGTCAGGCTGCACTACCTGTTTTCTCGGGGAAGCCACTTCTCATCACACTTTGGCACTTTTGATGGGTCTTCGATCAGGAGGCACCTATGGATTCAAACCCTGTGCCAAGTTCTGGGGGACAGAAAAGTAAGAACATAAGTGGAATAGAAGATATTGTTCCCAGTCTCCAGAAGCTCATGTGCTCTGGAGATGTAAGGCAATACCCCGTAGAGGAGGCTAGAGGGCCTTGCCTTTGGTAAGCCCTTCAATATTTGGTGCAGTCAGTAAACACATGAGTGAATGAGGAAGGGATGAATCCCATGACCTCACGCTCTAACAGGCTCAAGTGCTGAGTGGACAGCCGAATGGGCTGGGACTGGTCAGCAGAGGCTTTCCGCCAGCCCGAGCTTGGAGCTGAGACTTGGTAGAAAGAGACTTGCATCTCTCCCTTCCCCTTGTCTCCCCCGCTGCACAGCTGAAGAGCTTTGACCAGTTCACCTGCAACCTGCTGTATGTGAGCTGGAGGAAGGACCTCACCGAGCACCTCCACCGCCTCTACTTCCGGGGCCGCGTGTACTACACCCTCAACGTGCTGCGGGATGACATCGATAACCCGTAGGCACCCCCCCCTCAGTCCTTGCTACCCTCTGCGTGGTTCGTCCACCTGGGCTGACACAGCCCTGGAGACCCCCTGCGGCAGACCCCATGAGGTCATCCACCATTATCTGCAAATGTTGCTGCCCAGAGCCGAGGGGGAAGGGTGCCCTGCAGAGGACCCCGGAGAGGCTGCAGGGCTGAGGTCAGGGAGCTAAAAGGAAGAGGCCAAGAGCAGCTCCCTTTTGTCCACTTCACATCCTGGGCTTCCAGATAAGGCACCCTCTGAAGACAGTGTCCTTGCTAGAAAAAGCTAGAAGAGCAGCGCTCCAGTTTTCAGCAGTAAAAAACTACTGCTGTCTAGGACTCAGTCTGGGATTCCAGTCACCATTCTATCACCTCTCTTAGGTTCACTAAGCCCCAGGTTCCCTTACAGGTGAGGCAGCTGAAGCCCGGAGAATGCAAGTGACTTGCCAAAGCTCACGTCTCACTGGGAATAGGAGTCGTTGTGGCCTTGGTGGTGGGATGGGACACGTGGAGTCTCTCTTCACCCTCATTCCCTCCCCGCCTCGCACCGTCCCAAGCACTTTGTTGCCTGACGCAACCTCTCCTCAGCTCAAGTGGGGCTTTGCAGCAAAGACTCTTGGGAGGCTGCTGCTGCTGCTTAACCTTCTCTTCTAGGCCTCTTCTCCACATTTTTTTTTTCCCTTGGCCGCACCAGGCATGTGGGATCTTAGCTGCCCAGCCAGGGATCAAACCCGTTCCCCCTGCATTGGGAGAACAGTCTTAACCACTGGACCACCAAGGAAGTCCCTAGGGCTCTTCTCTATGGCTCAACCTGTACAAAACTTCCACAGCCAGATAGCTGAATGGGGGCAGGCTCAGGCTCGTGAGAGAGAGGTTGGGAGGAGTGAGGTAAATGATGTAGCTTTCCTGATCATCCGGAAACTTGGATCCCCTACCCTCGGGTTTTTCTTTGGCTCTGCTCAAAGCTGGCTCAGAACCCTTGTGTGCTGGACCTTTCAGTTGCCATTTTTTCTGAGGGGTAGACTGAGGCACCATAGGAAGCAGCTCTTCAGAACCCTGTTCGAAAGTCCTAAGGGTCTCGTTGCCTCTAGGAAACGAGCCCTTGTCTGGGTCCACCTTCCCACAGGGTCATTGCTGACAGCACTGAAAGGCAAGGTCAGAATAAGAGGTAGCCTGGAAATGCCTTAGCTCTCTCAACCCTCAAGCCCAGCTCCCTGGGCCTAGTCGCTCTGTGTCATTGGCTCCAGGGACCAGCGCATCAGCCAGGACGTGGAGCGGTTCTGCCGGCAGCTCAGCAGCGTGGCCAGCAAGCTGATCGTCTCCCCCTTCACCCTCATCTACTACACCTATCAGTGCTTCCAGAGGTGAAGGCTCTCTTCCTGCCAGAGCCCTTCCTCCTCCCCTGCCTGGTGGTTCCCCAGAGTCCCTCACTCACACATTGGGCGGGAGTCAGCTCTCCCTGGTCAGGGTCCACGAGAGGCTGGTCTTCCCTCCGTCCCACCTGCACCCCAGGAAGTCTTCCTGTCTTGCATGCTTGGGCCCCTGCCCTCCCTGTGGCCCTGTGGTGTGTCAGTGTCAAGGTACCAGATGCCCCCGCACAGGAGCAGAAGCCGCACAGGGCTCTGAGATGGGACAGGGGGCTGCCCAAAAGGGGGAGAAGTCAGAGCAGAGGCCTGTGGGGATATGTCGCTCCCCACACCCTCCCTCTCTCTGCCTTTCAGCACCGGCTGGCTCGGGCCTGTGAGCATCTTTGGGTATTTCATTCTGGGAACCGTGGTGAACAAGATGTTGATGGGTCCCATTGTGGCAAAACTGGTGCAGCAGGAGAAGCTGGAGGGGGATTTCAGGTGTGTCTCCCTTGCTTGAGGTTTCTGGGCCAGGCATAATGGTTAGGGAATGGGATCTGGCGAAAGGCTGCCTAAGTTTAAATCCCAGTTAGGCCAGTCACTAGCCGTATGGTCTTGGGCGGGGTCTTTAACCTCTCTCAATTTCAGTTTTCCCATCTGTAAAATGGGGATGGTGCTGACAGAATTGTAAGAAGGATTAATGAGATCATACGTGAGAAGCACTGAGAACGGTGACTGGCTGGCCGCCATCATCATCATCATCATCACCCCTTGGCCTTTTCACATGCTTCTGTTCCAACCACCCTTATTCTGGTCAGCCGATGGGTCCAGCCCCTACTCTGTGCTTCTTGGCCTCCTCCTTCAGACCCGGCCCTGGAAAGAAGAGGAGCTGTGGCAGGCCTGCACCTGTCCTCTTTGGAGAGGCAGGTGGCTGCCGTGTCTGCAGGTCTCCTGCCATCCCTCCCGGGCCTGGAATTTCCCACCCTGTGACAGGCCAGGGAAGGGTCGGGCTGAGGCAGCCACAGTCTTGGAGTGGAGCCAGGCTCCTCTTTGCTTGGAGGTCTTCTTGATCCAGGACTCTGAAAGGAGACGGGCCAGTCCTGCCCACTGTCAGCACACATTTGCCTTTGGTCTTCCCAGGTTCAAGCACATGCAGATCCGGGTGAATGCTGAGCCTGCTGCTTTTTTCAGGTGAGTCTAGTGGGGATGGTTCCCCTTCTGCCTTGTCAGAGCTGACAGTGGAGATGGTGGAGAAGTAGACAACCCTTCCACCATCACCAAGGCCAGGGGCCAGGCGTCCTCACACTTGGCTGTGACCCTCCCCTTATCTCTCACTGTCCTCGTCTGCCTCATCCTTAGGTCCATGGATTTGCTTCTGAAACTGGTTCTTCCTTTTCGTGGCCTAGCATGGGGCCTAAATTTGTTCTAAGAATGAAATGAGTGAATGCTTCATCATCTTACTAATGACTGAGGCATTGCCTCTGCCTCTGCTTTTCTGTCTGTAAAATGGCTTTCTGCCAGTGCCTGACGTCCAAGGCTGATCCGTTGTCTCTGTAGCGTGGGAGGGAATGGAGCCTCTCAGCTCAGAAGACCTGCTCGCCACAGACACTGTCCTAGTGGAGCAAAGTGGTCTCCTGACAGCAGCATTGTGAAACCCCATTCCTTCCCCCGGGGCCAGGGTAGGTCCCTGCACTCTGCCTCCTATGAGTACTCTGGATTCGGTATTTGGATTGACAGTAAGGGCCCAGAGGTTTGTGTTTAAGGAGTAGGAGTTACTCCTTGGATCACCTGGATCTAATAGCCCTGGGACTTTGCTCTTCTGTCCGTCTCTGCTGCAGCTCGTAGCTGCCACCACTTGGGGGCACCAAGGATACCGGGGACCTATGAGTGGGGCAGGTCGTGGGGGCCAGGTAGGGCTGGGCCTGCGCTAGGTTTTTTTTGGATTCTGCAGTCACTGCTCATGAAGCTTTGGGCCCTGGGGAAAGCAGGTTGATGCTTGGAGCTCCGAGTGTGTTTTCCTGCAGCCTCTCTGTCCTTCATGCAAAATCTGAAACGTTTCCTCTGTCCTCCCCCAACCTTTCTGCCTGGAGAATTTCTGCCCATCCTTGAAGCTCCAAGTCACCTCCTCCTGGGCGCCTTTCCAGACTCCCTTAGGGGTCACGCCTGTTTGCTTCCATAGCCCTGAAGACACACGGCTTACGTAACACTTTCCATGTTCCAGGTGAAGAATGCAGCGCGTCTGCCTGCCCCCCTGAACTGGGAGCTCCTTGAGGACAGGGGCTCTTTTGTCCAAAACTGTTTCGCTGGCTACCTAGCACCAAGCCTGCCGCCTAGTGACTGCTGCGTGTATATTTGTTTAATAATAGCAGCTCTTTTTTATTGGGAGCCCCTCATGTGCTTGGCGCTTTACATTCAGAAATTCTCACTCTAGCCTATTACGTAGGTATTATAAGCTCCATTGTATAGATGAGCAAACTGAGACTCAGAGGCTTAATAACCTGTCAGTGTTACCTGGCTAGTAACTGGCCAGAGCCAGAGCCAGACCAGATTTGAATCCGGTCTGCCCAGTCTAGAGTTCATGGTCTTTCCGCAGACAATACCATGTTGACTGAATGAAGCAATGGCTGGCTGCTGGTGGCCGAAAGGGTCTGAGGGGAAGATCCCTTGGGTGGGCTTGGTCGCTAAAGGGGAGTGTGAGGAGGGGGGCTCAGGCTCTCCAGGCCCCGTGGACATCCCGGCCTTTCTCATCAGAGCTGGGCACGTGGAGCACATGAGGACAGACCGCAGGCTGCAGAGACTCCTTCAGACCCAGAGGGAGCTGATGTCCAAGGAGCTCTGGCTGTACAGTAGGTGCAGGGAGCCCCGGGAGGCAGGAACCACCGTGGTGGGGGGGAGCCTGCTTCCCTCCCCACAACTCCCTCCTCCCTCTCTGCACTGATCAGTTTGCCTTTGCCAGGAGTGACCTCAGGAGAGTGAGGATCCCCAGAATAGCTTGACCATGCTTGGCTTCCCGTTCCCCTCGGAGCGCAGGATTGCTTCCCAGGTCTCTCACCCTAGGTCTTTCTGTCTTCCGCAGTCGGCGTCAACATGTTTGACTATCTGGGCAGCATCCTGAGTTACGTCGTGATCTCAATCCCCATTTTCAGCGGCGTCTACAGAGACCTGAGCCCCACAGAGCTCAGCACCCTGGTCAGCAAGGTGAGAATCCCTTCTGGGGACCCCCTCATGCCATCCCCCCTGCCCTTTGGCGCAGCACCCAGGGCCTTGGAGTCAAGGCCCGCGCGCACTGCCCTCTGTCCTGTCCAGAACGCCTTTGTATGCATGTACCTCATCAGCTGCTTCACCCGGCTCATCGATCTCTCCACCACACTCTCCGATGTGGCAGGCTACACACACAGGTGAGGCTGCGTCCGGCCCCTCTAGGCACGCCCACAGGTGAGGCTGCGTCTGGCCCCTCTAGGTCCTGAGCAAAGCGTGTACCTCAGGGAGAAGTAGCAGAGTGAAAACAGGAGCAGAAAAGCTCACCGTATACTAGTGGGCATGAGAGAGAAAAAGGAGTAACGCCTTCACCTGGGCGCCCAGACCCTCCTCAGGTTTTCACTTCTCGCCCAGGATCGGGGAACTTCAGGAGACCCTGCTGGACATGACCCTGAAGTCACGGGATGGGGAGATCCTGGACGAGAGCGAGTGGGACTTGGCCAGGTGAGCGCTCTGCTGGCGGTGCAGTCTGGTGGTGGAGAATGCAGGCGCTGGAAGCACCCTGGAGCCCAGCCCCAGCCGGGCAGCAGAGTTAGGCAGAGCAACTGAGCTCTGTCTTATGCCAGGCACGTTGTAAATGTTCACCATCAATGTTGCTGTTCTGGCATCTGTGTTTATTTACACCATCCCCCAGCTGATGGAAGCAAAGTACAATCAGCCTGGGCCTGAGTTAACAAAACAAAAATCTGAATTGTATCCCTCCTCTTCCTTTATTCCCTCCTCCTCGCTGAGCCCTGCCACCAGTCCCCTTCCTTGGGGCATGTCTATTGTTTGTCCCCACTCAGGCCCAGAGGTGTCTTTATTGTATCTTTGCAGGCTCCGTGATGTTTCTGACCTTTCTGTGCACCAAGGATTTGTTCATGTCCTCACTTTTCTTGAGCAAACTACTTAACTGCTCTGTGTCTCAGTTTCTTCGTCTCTATAAAGAAGACGTTAATGGAACGTTCGTCTTAGGGTTGTTGAGGGGATTAGATATCATAGTTCATAGAAGGTGCTTGGACGGAGGCCACAGAGTAAACTTTCAAAAATGGAAACAGGCTGAATTTCAGGGTCTACACTCAACTGTCTTCTTAGGAGCTAATGCCTTAACTGTCGCCTCTGTTCAGAATTAAAGCTTCATGCAGCTCTGAGCCCAGAGGTGGGGGGGGGGGGGCGCTGGTGGTGCAGGGACTGTGGGGAACGGGAGATGCTTTTCTGTGGGGGAGATGGGCATCCGTGGAGAGCCAGAAGCTCCAAAACTGTGTTAGTATTTCCACTCCCATTCTTACATCAGTCACGCGGTGATGCCATGAAAATGCATGTAATGCCACAAACATTAGAATTGGACAGATGCAGCTCTGTGCCCCTGAGCAGGTTACTCAGCCACCTGACTCAGTTTCCTCATCTGCCCAGTGGGGATAATAGCTGTGGTTCATGGCTGATAAGACTGATTAAGATCTGTCGTGGGCAGGACTTTGCCCAGCCTGCCGCAGAGCAGGTGCCCAGTCCATCTCTATCAGTTTGCTAGGGCTGCCATGACAGAGTACTGTAAACTGGGCGGCTTAAAGAGCAGAAGTTTATTTTCTCATAGTTCTATGGGTTAGAAGTCCAAGATCAGGGTGTCAGCAGGGTTGATTTCTCCTGAGGCCTTGCTCCTTGGCTTGCAGATGGCCGCTTTCTCACAGTGTCCTTACGTGGCCTTTTCTCTATGCGTGTGCACCCCTGGTGTCTCTCCCTCTTCTTAAAAGGACACCAGTCATACTGGATTGGGGCCCTACCCTAAAGGCCTCATTTTAATGTAATCACCTCTTTAAAGACCCTGTCTCCAAATGCAGTTCCCTTCTGAGGTACTAGGCGTTGGGACTTCAGTATGTGATTTTTGAGGCCACAGTTCAGCCCATGGCAACCCTCCAGTCCAGAGGTGATGCCCCCAAGGAGAAAGAACTACCCCCCTGCCCCCAGCACTACTGACACCGCTTATCTTCCCAACATCTCTTCGCTTCTTGCACCCTAGGACTCCAGGATGGCCAGCAACAGAGCGAACAGATACAGCTTTTCTTCTTGAGCGGGTCTGCATCTCCGCCCCCTCCTCTAACAAACCCTTAATCAAGGATCTGAGCCTGAAGATCTCTGAGGGGCAGAGCTTGCTTATCACAGGCAACACGGGCACCGGCAAGACCTCCTTGCTCCGGGTTCTGGGTGGCCTCTGGGCGAGCACATGGGGTGAGAGCCAGCCTTCCCTGCTCTGAGCCAGCCTTGGCCTGTGGGGCGTATGTGTGTGAGAATCAAGCCTCTTGTTGGAAAATCAGAGTGAGGGGCAATTACCTTTCTGGGAGATCTTAAAATGGTGTTTTCTGTAGGCTCAGTGCAGATGCTGATGGACTTTGGACCCCACGGGGTGCTGTTCCTGCCACAAAAGCCATTCTTCACTGACGGGACCCTTCGGGAGCAGGTTAGCCGGGGCCCACTCCTCCCACCCCTTCCCCCCAACCTGGACCCTGGTGGTGGGACAGGTCTCAGCCCTGGAGAGCTATGGGACAGCAGGTGGGGTATAAAATGAACCAAGCCCAGGAACTCCCTGGCTCTAAGGACTTTTTATTCACTTCTATGGATTAGGCCATGTACTCAGAGCAACTTCTGGGAGCAGGTTAACCTGTGGAGGCCGTAAGCCAAATATCACATGTGTTTGTTGAACACCAGCTTGGATTCTGGGGGCCCTGCCCTGCTGTCTGCCAGCCCCGCCTCTCCCACCGGACCCTCAGCCAGGACGCTCCTTGCTCTCCTCGGGTGGAGAGGAGCCTGGCCTCTGGCAGCTCCTGGGGCTGTTTCTGAGGGAGGATAGCTGTGTGCAGCCCCACCTCTCCTTGACCCTTGCCCTAGGCCCATGTGGTTTCTTCTTTTATCAGGTGATATATCCCTTGAAGGAGATCTACCCGGACTCAGGTGAGCTGAGCCTCTTGAGGACGCAACCTCCCATCCCACCATCTCTTCTCTGTCTGACTGTGGCCTCACCTGTACCTTTTGGAAGAGGCCCCAGCCAGGCTGCTGGTTTCAGGTGGGGTCCCCTCCACCTCCTCCTTTGACTGTTTACTATTCGGGGGTCTGTACCCTGACCTCATCTTGTTCTGTCTCCCCCTCCGGAGGAGAGACACCACTGGAGGAAAGGAAGGGATTACTTCCTTCACTGGGTCCTTCCCGTGTTTATTAAGTGCTGTAACCTGTCGCTTCAGAGCCTTGGCCCACATTCTGGGGCCCCTGGCCATGATGTGCCCCATCTATTCTGGCTACCCAGAGGAGCTGACTTCTTGAAGCCTTCTGTGTTTTGCAGGTTCTGCTGATGATGAGAGGATCATAAGGTTCCTGGAGTTGGCAGGCCTGGTGAGTGAGGGCAGGGACCCTGAGGTCCAAGCCCACCTGGTGGCACTGACCACAGGTGCAGGCCCAGCGGAGCTGGCCCTACTGTCCCTGCCCCAGGACTGGAAGTCTGAGCCTTGGGCAGGGTGATGGGTGTATAAATCGGCAGTGGGAGCTGTTGGCCAGGTACAGGCAACAAGCAGCGTCCACTCTCTAGCAAATTTTAAAACAATAATAAGACTACATCAGCCTGCTTTTTCTGGTCACCACGTTCTAGCAAGTCTCAACAGTGTGGCTGGCGGACTGCTCTCCCAGCCCCACCGTGGTACGCGACCAGAGGTAGCTGTGTCTTGGGTGTGTGTGGTGGGACTGAGGAGGTCCTCAGGATAGCAGGAAGCAGGGATGGGCCCTTTCATGGACATCGTTTTCTCTGGGTGTGTTACAGTCCAGCTTGGTGGCAAGGACAGAGGGTCTGGACCAGCAGGTCGATTGGAACTGGTAAGAAGGAGGTTGAGGTGCTCCAGAGCCAGCTCCCCCAAAGACAGTGGGTCCCAGAGGCCTGGGCAAGGGATGAAGTGACTTCTGACCCCAAATTCTAGGGGTTTGCTGGGCTGCTGGGGACCTGGTTCATGTCCGTGGTACAGAATTTTGGCCTTGCCTTGTGTAGGCAGCGGGGCTGTGGTGGAAAGGGGGGTGACATCCATCCGTCCTGGGGCAGCCTGTCTGCGCTGGGAGCCTTTTCCTGCCCAGACCATTCTGTGCAAAAGCCAAGCTATAGCCTCCTTCCTCCAGTGGGCCTCTCGTTCCCCTTTCTCAGGTATGATGTTCTGTCCCCAGGAGAGATGCAGAGGCTCTCCTTTGCCCGGCTCTTCTACCTGCAGCCGAAGTATGCAGGTGAGGTTCGCCCTGTAGGTACACATGCTAGCCAGGCAACGTTTGCACTCACAGGTATAGCAGCGTGTGTTCGTGTGCACCTGGAGAGGCATTGGTATGGATAGGAGAGCACACCTGTGCCTGGCCAGGTATCTCTGTCCCTGCAGGAGAGGATGGCAGGGCTCTGCCCATGAGGCAGCAGTGCTTGGCATCCTCAGGTATATGTTGAACTGCCAGTTCTTAACCTCTGTGCCAGTGCGGCAGCTGGAGCCAGCCTTGAGAGGGCTTCTCATGGTATGGCCGTCAGGCTCTGCCATCAGTGAATGGGCATCCCTCTGCTGTGCCTGGCAGAGGTGTGAACTTTTCTAAGGACTGACATCTTGGGGGAACTAGGATTCCCTGGATTGAGTGGTCCTAGGCAGTGGCTGGTGGATTAGGGATAGGGTAGGAAGCTGAGGGATTTTGTCCTGCAGCTGGCAGAAGGCTTCCCAGATGGAGCCTAGCCCTCCGCTCCTCTGGCCCACGCTCTCCCTAAGGCAGGGCCCCTGTAAGCCAGAACAGCTTTCAGCCTCCCACCAGGTCCCAGCGAAGGTGGGTGTGGGTTGGAGGAGTGGCAGAGGTGGGTCTGGGGCAGGACTTCATCTCTTCCCACTGAGTTCTGTCCTCAGTGCTTGATGAAGCCACCAGTGCCCTGACCGAGGAGGTGGAGAGCGAGCTCTACCGCATTGGCCAGCAGCTGGGCATGACGTTCGTCAGCGTGGGCCATCGGCGCAGCCTTGAGAAGGTACCTGTGCCCGCAGGATGGCCTGAGGAGGAGAAAGAATGCCAAGGCTGGGCCTGGCCGGGGCCAGAGCCCCCTCAAAATGGAGAGTGGGGATGGCAGAGAGGGCAGGGAATCTGTCACAGCCGGGGCAGCCTGATCTCCGCGTGGTGGTGGTCTCTTGTAGTTTCACTCCTTGGTTCTGAAACTCTGTGGAGAAGGAAGGTGGGAGCTGACCAGAATCAAAGTGGAATGAAGCCAAGGCTGGCCACCGGCAGGAGAGCCAAGCCCAGGAGATCGAGTCCCCAGGAGAGACCAGGAAGGCTGATGGGGCAAGGAAGGAGCTCCAGGTTTGCCTCACAGGTCCCATGTGGGTAGCACCAGCAGCAGTGGACTTAGCCCACGTGTGGCCCTCCGCAGGACCCTCATCCTGCCAGGGTGCCTCCTGCTGCCTCAGCCAGAGCTTCGTACACTTGACGTGCTGATTACTTCACATATGACCTCAGATCGTGTTTTCTAAAGAAAACCTGAAAGTGTGAGATCTATAAGAAATGCAGGGTCAAAATGGAGAGTGTATCGGACTTGGAGTCAAGAGATCCAGGAATCTTTTAGAATACATCAATTTTGCAACAGTAGATTTTTAACTTTAATCAACTATTTAAATTTTATAACTTTTTTTTAAAAGAAAAGATAAACATGTTTTTAAACTTGCAGCTTTCCCCTTTTTTCTTTCTTCTTCATCATAAGATGATCTTTTTTTTTTTTTTTTTTGGCCACACCATGCGGGATGCAGGATCCATGCAGGATGTGAGATCTTAGTTCCCCAACCAGGGATCAAACCTGTGCCCCCTGCAGTGAAAGCATGGAGTCTTAACCACTGGACCGCCAAGGAAGTCCCTAAGATAATCTTCTTAATTGACTCTCCGAGCTTGTCTTTGAGAGCCTGGGGGGGTGGGAGCAGCACTCTCCACTGTGCTGGAACCTTCTGCCCGTAGGTTCTTCACTTCACTGGCATCTCCCACTTACCCATTGCCAGTTGTCCCTCAGCCACTAACCTCGAGGGCCCTTCAGCTTTTCTTAACCCAGATGAAAATAAATCCCGTAATATTTTTAAGTTAATTCATTACTTAAATGCATTTTTTAAAATATAAATTTTTTAATTTATTTATTTTTGGCTGCGTTGGGTCTTCGTTGCTGTGCGCGAGCTTTCTCTAGTTGTGGTGAGCCGGGGCTACTCTTCGTTGTGGTGCGCGGGCGTCTCACCGTAGTGGCTTCTCTTGTTGCGGAGCATGGGCTCTAGGTACGCGGGCTTCAGTAGTTGTGGCTCACGGGTTTAGTGCTCCGTTGTATGTGGGATCTTCCCTGGACCAGGGCTCGAGCCCATGTCCCCTGCATTGGCAGGCAGATTCTTAACCACTGCGCCAGCAGAGAAGCCCCCTAAATGCATTTTTAAAGGAAACTTTACACTTGATATAAATAGAAAGTAACTGTAAAAATTAATACAAATAATGTTATGAAATGGCAGCTGTGTACTGCACCTGCAAAGACTCTACACCTGAGGCTTGCTCTCTGTACAAAGGGAGGTTAGGGGTGTTACAGAGGAGTTAGACATACTAGCACCCAACTGAGAATCTTCTTAATAGATTTGGGGAAATGGAATGGGAACCGCAAGGGAAGTGATTTTCTCTCTCTAAGACGAGGTTCTTTAATGTCTCTTGATACCACTGAAAATGATCCTAGATGCGGGGTGGAGCTCCAGACCTGGGGAGATGTCGCCCTGGATAACATGTCTAACCCCCTCCCTCCATGGCGTGGCTGGCATGGAGGCCTCAAGCCTATTCTCAGCTCTGCCCCATACGGGTGCTAAAGCAGTGTGTCCAGGTGCTGAGCTGAGAGAACTCTGGGGTGGGCACCTGACCAGGTCTGATGGTGTGTCCAGTCTCCGGTGAAGCCTCCTTAGGGACCTACAGGATGTCAGCATCGGGAAGGCCCGTGGCAGCCCTTCTCATGGGGCTGAAAGGGACCGTCAAGGTCGGCATCTGCTTCACGAGCCTTCCCATACTTGAATCTCCCAACCATATCCTGCCAGGTGCTCTTCTGGCCTCTGTTCAGACACCTCTAGCATTGGGGGCCATCCGTCCTCAGACCCCTCTGAGGAAAGCTCTTCCTTAGGCCAAGGGGAAACGTATCTCCCTCAGGATCCCCCTGACTCCCACCCCTTGGGCATGTTTTAAATTGTGGGGTTCGGGTATGGAAAGACTCCCTCTCTGGCTTAATTTCTGTACTTTCATCAATATAGCTGAAGCTCCCCTCAGCCTTTTTGGTGATAGCATTGCCTCACTGACTTGCTTCAGACTCACAAGCTCCTTCAACTCCTAAGCCTTTTTCACAAGTGCTGCTGCTGCAGATTATTATAGAGACCAAGTTTGTTCCTAACTCAGAGTCTTTGCACTTGCCATTTCCTGTGCCTCAAACATGTTCCCAGTGCTGTTTCTGTTCTTAATACTCAAATACTCAGTGTCCTCCCTTGCAGAAACTCTGCCAAGAGAAGGCTGTTCTTAGAGGCAGACTGTACCCTTATCCATCATTCATCTCAGAGATGGTGGCTACTCGAGGGTTTTAGGTGAATCGATACAAACCTGCATGAGGAGAAGTCAGGTTATGTGTCCTCAGTGGATGACAAGGACCAAAATGTTCATTTTAAGTGTTTTAAAATAAGCGAGGCAAATAATTTCCCAAACTTAAGTCTTGTTCTGCCACCCAGGAATCTACACAGACCCACGTGGATGATACCTAGAAATGTTGTCCTTATATCCTTCTCATCACTCCTCTGAGGAGTCCTGGAGCCATGGGACAGGGCAGAAAAGCAACCTTTTGTTATCTCCATCAAGTGTCCGCTTACCTACCGTATCAACTTGTGTACCACCCCAGTCATTCTGGGGTGGAGAATAACAAACTAGTCTCTGTTCTGCCACAGCCCACAGGGAGCTGTGCTCTGTGTTCTGCATCCAGGACAGTCTCCCAGGAAGCCAAAGAAGAGCAATGCCAGCTGCCCTCTGTAAAGACTGCCTTTCCAGAAACATTGTCTTGTTGGTGCTATTTCCTTCTGACATCCTGTCTAGGTGTCAGAATGATGGGTGGCCCTGGGCTAAACCCTGGGCCAGGAAGGAACCCCTGGAGGCACAGGGAGTTGTCAGGAGAACTGGTGCCTGGAGAACAAGCCAGCTGAAAGGGAGCCCTGGACTGGGGAGCTGCAGAGACTGTCCTACCAGGAAGTAGGGTAAAGTGTGGACAGGCATCAGGCAGGGGACATGTGCTGGGGAACACTGTCCTCAAGCCTCTGGCAGGGTGAGGCTGGACAACTGGCCAGTGGATTTGCCCATCTGTAAGTAGTTAAGGGTTCTGAGGGTCAGATGCCTCTGGGGAAGGTTTCCCTGGGAAAATCCAAAGACAGGGCAGAGACTTACCTAACATGCTATCAGACCCTGACCCCAGGCCCAAAACTGCCAGCCCACGAGGGAGTGAAGGGGGAAACAAAGGCAAGTCTGTCTTGAACTGGTGGAGAGATTTGTGCAGAGCTTGCATGCTTAAGGGAAGCCCAGCTCCTGCCACATTCTCTTAAGAACCCTGCAAGGAAGATGCTTCCTTTTCTTTCCTTTTTACCCCAGTTGAAGAGTCTGAGCTCCAGGACCTGAAATGACTTGCTTAGGAATCTCAAGTTCAAAACAGAACTCCTCAGCCTCTGAACCGCCCCCACCTGCTGCATTCATCTTGCCCATCTCAGGGAATGACACTTCCACTGTCCACCCTGAGCTCAGGCTAGAGACCTGAGACCCTCCGGACCTCCTTCCCCATATCCAACCCATCACTACATCCCATGGGTTCTGCTTCCAAAATATATCTGAAGCCCACCTCTGCCCTCCCCCGAGGCCACCACCAAGTCCACCCGGACAACTGTGGCAGCCTTGTCCCTGGTCTCCCTGCTGCTTCTCCCAACCCCCCACATCCTCCACAAAGCAGCCTGAAGGACCTTAAAAATGCAAATTAGCTGTGCCCTACATTAAAGTCCAAAATACTGGGCCTGCAAGGCTGCACTCCCATCCCTCTCCTCGAGCCCATTGGCCTCTGTCATCAGAGATGGGCCAAGCTGGTCCAGCTGAGAGCCTTGTTCCCATGCATTCCTGGAAGCGCACAAACTACCAAGACTGACTCAAGGAGAAACAAAATCTGAATGGTTCTATAACAAGTGATTGAATCAGTAATCAAAAACCTCCCAGCCAATAATCCTCCCTCCCTCCCCAATAATCTGAGGGCCAGGTGGCTTCACTAGTGAATTCTACCAAACATTTAAAGAATGTTTCATATCAGTCCTTCTCAAAATATTCCAGAAAATAGAAGCAGAGGGAACACTTCCTAACTCATTCTATTAGGTCATCATTGCCCTGCACCAAAGCCATATAAAGACATCACAAGAAAACTGAAGACAAATACCCTTTATGAATATAGATGTAAAGATTCTCAACAAAATACTAGTGGACAGAATCCAGCAGTATATTGAAAGCATTATACATCATGATCAAGTGAGATTTAGCCCAGGAATGCAAGGGTAGTTCATATGAAAATCAACATAAAACACCACAGTAGAATGAAGGGGAGAAGCCACCTGATCACCTCTATTAGTGCAGAAAAAGTATTTGATAAAATCCAACCCCCTTTTATGATAAAAGCACTCAATAAACAGACTAGAAGGAAAGGGAATTTTCTAAAAAGAAATTTTCTAAAAAGACATATAAAAAACCCAACATCATACTCGGTAAAAGACTGAAAGCTTTCCCACTAAGATCAGGAACAAGACAAGGATGACTGCTTTTACAAATTTTATTCAACATTGTACTGGAGGTTCTGGCCAGAGCAGTTAGTCAAGAAAAAGAAAAGGCATCAAAATTGGAAAGGAGGAAATAAAACTATTTGCAGAAGACATGATCGTATATCTAGAAAATCCTAAAGAAAAAAGACAAAAAACACAAAGTATAACAAAGTCAACAAAGGTGCAGGATACATGCAAAAATCAATTGTATTTCTATATACTAGCAATAGACAAAGCAAAAAGGAATTAAGAAAACAATCCTATCAATATTTACAATAACGTCAGAAAGAATAAAATTCACCCAGGCAGTGCAAGACTTATACTCTGAAAATACGAAACATTGCTGAAAGAAATTAAAGACCTAAATAAATAGAAAGACATCCCATGTTCATGGATTGGAAAACTTTATTTTAGATATTTTGCAGACTTCTTTATTTATGTATTTTTTTTTAATATTTTATTTATTTATTTGGCTGTGTCTGTGTGCAGGTTTCTCTCTAGTTGTGGTGTGCAGGGTTTTTTTCTTTTTTTCTCTCCAGTTGTGGTGCTTGGGCTCCAGAGCGCATGGGCTGTGTAGTTTACAGCATGCGGGCTCTCTTATTGAGGTGCGTGAGCTCAGTAGTTGTGGCGTGTGGGCTTAGTTGCCCCATGGCATGTGGGGGTCTTAGTCTTAGTTCCCCAGACCACAGATCGAACCCACGTCCCCTGCATTGGAATGCAGATTCTTTACCACTGGACCACCAGGGAAGTCACTGGAAGACTTAATGTTGATAAAATGGCAGTATTTCCTAACGAAATACTGGCTCACAGATTAAATGTAACCCCTATCAAAATTCCAATGGCTTT